TAAATCATTACGTCGGGGTAGCATTTGCTTGGTATTTCCGGGTATTTCTCCACTGGTTAACATGGGTTAACAATACCGTGTAGCTGTCACGTGTGAAGGGGACGAAACCGTGACATCTTCACGTCTCCCAGCATGGTAAATCGTCACATGTTCACGTCTTGCCGTGATACCGGGTTGGTTTTTGTAGATATACTACGTCCTACGTTGTGGACCAACGTAGTTATTACACGTTTTTTTGTGAGACTGGGTTGGATCAGAGCCATATAATAGAAGAGTTACGACAACGGAAGTCCAAAAACGGTTATCGTCACGTGGTTCATGTAGAAGAGGATTGTTCCCCGGAAGTTCATGGAGGGCAATGTGAATGCATTGATAACAGGAGATAGAACTACGATTTTTGGTAATTATTAGTGAATAAAGGTTTTGATTTGCAATATTTATACAACAAATCGATATGTGTATGTATTTACATCAATATGTTTTTAAAAATAAAATAGAATTTGCTAATATTAAGTGATATTAGGATTAGTGTGAACAACTAGTTTACATGTTAGGCTAACAGTGCCTTGGTTAAAGATCCTGTTGCTGTTTATTTATAGCTTTGAATTCTTTAAAACCAATATTATCTTCTTAAACCTGTATGGTAGTCAGGAGCATCACTTTCTAATGTTTATTGATATATTTAGAGGGAGGGGATCTAAAGTAATGCTTTAAAATTCAGATTAGATTAATGTCTACCATTTTCTTAAATTCATGGTAGTTTCAGTAATCCCATGGTAATTGAGGACACAAGTTATCTAAATGACTAATGTCATCTTTATGGCTTTCAGAAAGGACAGGAGACCGACAGGTGACTATCAAAGGACTAGCAGCAGCAGCATGATGATGTTAAATGTGTTGTTTTAGGAACATCCATTGCAAATACATGGAATTCAATAAACATTGAATAGCATATCATGCAGTTTGTCTGTGCCTTTTCCTCCTTGTTGTCCTGGTTTGCTGTGCTGCCTCCTAGTCGCCACCATGGTTTGCTGTGCTGCCTGGGGATGCTCCAATCGCTCAGAGAAAGGAGTACGAATGTACAGCTTCCCCACTGACACAGAGCGGAGGAAGCAGGAGCAATTTCACGACCAACAGCAAAAAAATATGTGATTTATATACAAACACTGCATTTGCACTTTTTCACAAAACGAAAACCACACCATTGGGAAAGCTTAATGTTTTGTTTAATACAAAAAACAGGGAAAGGCTTGAAAAACACTGAGAGTTGAGACTCAGGGTGCAGGGTGAGGGTCTCAGTGCAGGTATTCAGGCTCCATTGAATCCCCCTCTGGTTCTTGTGCTGAAAGAGGGATAAACAGACAGGAGAAAGGGTTATACACACACAGCACACCTATTGGATGGGGAATTGCCTTGGGGAGATAAGGTGTGGTCTTTGTTCCCAACTGAAGTTATGGAACTTTATTATTTGTGAGTTTAACAAAGTATGACAAATGGCATCAGTAACATATGTGATATGAATTTCTATAAAGTTGTCTCACATTCTTGGTCATATTGTATATACAGTATGTAATGAGTATAACATGTCCAGTAAGTATAAAGTGTTTCCTAATACTGTGTATTCAACCACTATGGAATATGTATGTGGGCAGACAAAACTGAGTTGTTCTGTGTGTGAAGTAACCTCAAGTCACTCCGCAGGCACATTTTGATGCAGACCAGTTTGTCAAGACAAAAAAGGGCAAGACTAGGCTGAGAGCAGAGGCTATACCCACCATCTTCGTGCATCGCCCTGTGGTCAAAAAGAGAAGGGCCCCTGCACCACGATTCACCCCGGGACCTGTATCTACAAAGCCCATAGCTCATGATCACAGTGATAGTGTGAAAGGTGACACAGGTATAATAAGTATGAACTCTTAGTAACAAAAGTAATATTTCTTATTTTTAAGTGGTATAATATTTTAAATGTTCGAACATTTACAGTGCCATGTCTTCTACTTACATTAGTCTCAAAGATTGAGGGAAGAAGGGAAGGGATCACTGCCATCCACCTGCCAGAGGAGCGCAAACAACAAAAACAAGCAAGGTGTCCCGTCATGTACCTGGAAGTTTGGGTTGGCAAAATGGAGTAAGAGAGGGACTTGAAAAACCTTGGTGGCTGTCTACTCATGTTGTTACAGTTGGCTTGGTTACAGCTCTCAAGTTTTTTTTTGTGCCATTTCCACATCTTTAGAAAATATGAAAAAATTGAAGTGAAATCAACCTCATCTCTGGAGAACAAACTTCGATTTCTCTGTCTTGTGAGTTTGCAGTCTTGCAGTTTTGCTCCTCCACCTGTAACATCACTGCCCCTCCACCTGCCATACAGTAGGTTACTAACAAGATTACTTATATAATACAGTGATAGAATACATGTTTAGTATGCTTACTTGTATAAAACAGTCGTATTAAACTTACCTTGTGTTTTCACACTCACTTAAGTCCCTCTCCCTTTGCCATCAATCCAAAATCAGCTGAGCTGCAACATTATACAGGCAGGTAATAATCAACATAATCACAAGGACACAATATGGCTCTGCTAAAAACACTCACTCTTACACGCACCAAAGTTATATTTATCTAATATTTAACTCCCTCCACCCCCGCATACAATCCCGTTTAGAAGCCCCTCTTCTCTAATTCAACAACGTTGGACCAAATAGACATTAAGAGAACGGAATTTACAATTAAAAGGTTGTTCAACGTCTGTTGCTAACTTGCTTCGGTATCCTAGCTTGATCTGTTATCTGTAAACGTTCCCTAAATCTACTAATTTAGGGATAATCCACTGACATCCTTTAATACACATGTTCAATTGAATCAGATGTACTGATAATATCCGCAATATAAATCTTTAAACTTCTTCTTACCTTTAAAAGTCCGTCACGAACGGTCTATTATGCTGCAACTCCACCGCTCTGCTAGCCTTGGCGCTAACTTCCGGGGAACGATTGAGAGGCTCCACGATCCGCCATTGCTGTAAAAAAGTGGTCCATTGGAGTGAACGGAGATGTCATAACTCTTCTATTATATGGCTCTGGGTTGGATATGCTGATGTTAAATTGTCCCCAACACTTTTTCTAACACGTGACGCCCATGTACAATACATATAATATTTTGGCAAATTTTTGAATACAAAGCTACCTCAACCTGTTAAACCCCGAGCCTGTTTTTCAGGTTTCAGGCTCGAAAATGACATTCCCAGAACAAATGACCATATCTTCCCTTCTAAAAGGGTTAAATTAATAATATTTGTTCTCAAAGTAATGATAAACCTGTGAGTTGGATGCAGAAAAGTCAGAAAAAATATAGATGTTTTCTATTTTAAAGAAAATTCAGATTGAACATGGTAAAAAACTGTAAATTATAGTGTCCGTCCAAAAAATATTTTGTACTTATAGTGAACTAACCTTGGATGATGGGTTAGTAGACTAAAAGCTTTAAGAATCCAAAGTACAACATATAATAAGTACCCTGTATCAAGATTGATGCAAAACAAGTTATATGTGACCTTTTTAGACAGATTTAGCAAAAAAAAACCTCTTCTGGGGGCATTTGGATGGATTTTCCATATCTCTGGCCCCCCTTGCTGGATTTTGACATGTGACATCTCTTTCTGACCGTCAGAGCCAATGGAATCGAGGGGAACTCACACATAGTCCTTATTTGGTAATGTGTGTGTGTTAGACTGCTGCATAGCCAAGACCGGAAGCAGCAGCCACTCTGATGGCTACCATTAGCAGCTAACTTTTGCTCTGCGATTTTTACATAAAAATGGAATTATGGATTATAAATGAAATATTTTTTTTATACAGAGACGTTAAAAACCTATGGATTAACCGATTCAGCCGCGTTTTTTCTCGTTTTAATGCCATTGAACACGTCTTTTGATCAGATTGACAGCTACGGTGAGACGATCTCCCTAGAAGCTCCGTAAAGGTACGTGTTGTGATGTCTGTGTTTGCTTCCCCTGTCGAGAGTTCGGATCACTCAGTGATGATACTATATACCTAAATAATCTGTGGAACCTCAGTTTTAATCGGATATCTTGTATGTGCAGCTACGATAAGTAATAAGGGTACTTTTATCTTGAGTTCTGTGCCAATGTCCGTTTGCATTTTTCGCTAAGGGGTCATTTAGATGCTTCTTATGAGACTTGTGTTTTGTTTTGGTAAAAATGGTTTCTATCGTCAGTTAGCTGAGATGATTTCCTTTAATCTGGTATAACACATTAATAGGTTCTTAAATATTAAGATCCCCTGAGACACTGTGTCGTGAGAAAAAAAAAACAGGGTCCCCGCCGGCGGGGACCTTGGGGTTTAACAGGATTATGCACAGCTTTCGTTACAACACTGCACATGTTCTTATCCAAGTATTATGTCATCTTATACTATATGTAGTTTTTTTGGTACATCTATATATTTCATGTAAATATTTCTCTATAATTTAATGTTAAAATAGTATTAATATATAAATAGTTTACATTTTTGGTCGTTTTTCTTACAATGTATCTTCTTTAACTGTGTTTATTATATTACATTGCATTATAAGCGTCTTTGAGTTTTTAGAAAAGCGCTATATAAGTGTCATGTATTATTATTATTATTACATTTCATTTGGCTGACGCTTTTATGTATGCAGCAGCACCATATACACAAAGAAACATTTCTCGTATGTGTTAACTTACTTGGCAATACACCTGTTTCTGATTCTGCAATTCATCATCACAACCAAATACAATAAACATAAATGCCGTTTTACAAAGGAAAATCTCTATCAAGAACATTCAAACATCAACATTGTCTGAATATTAATTTATTATAACTCCTTTCTCAGCTTCTTATTTGTTTGTTTTTATATTAAGGGCTCAACTTTCTCTTCTTATATATTCCTTTTATGTGTTTATCTTTGTAAAGTAAAATCCTTATTATTTTTTGCCTGTTCTCTGGTCGTCCTGCAGTGCATCATTCCGGCCAGAGAGGGGCAGTAGATCATTTTCACAGAGCCAAACCGGAAGTTGAAAGGACTATGAAAGTCAAACTGTAGCATGGTGAGCGTTTTCACATAACCTACAGGGAAAATGTCTTTGTACACTTTATTCAGGATAGTAACGTTATCCAAAGGTATCGCAAACAACGCCACAACGTCGCTGTGCAGAACGAGCGCTCTGAACAGAATACAGACATGTGGATATGCTAAGAAAGTTGGTGAGTAAAGAAGATAAGTGCCATGTATCTTCAGTATATCTCAATGTTTTCCAATGCATACTGTGAATTAAATGCGGTTACCATACATCGATGTAAAGGACAGGTGTCCAGAGTGGAAAGCATTTAGTGGATAAGTGTTATGTTATTATTTGACGTTACATATCCATATACACCATCTAAATCACATGTGTCTGCTCATGCTATTAAACAATTATTATCAGTGGTTATTATCTTATTATAGAAGTTATTTAAATAAGTACTGTACTGAAGTGTAGCCATGACATACTTCTACTTAACTTGAGTAGTTCCAATATGCAACTAATTAAATTCAAGTCATATAATTCACACTTACCAGTTAATGGATACGTTTTGCATTTAAAAAAACAGATACAAACTCATGATATGCCTATATGATATGATGCAGTACTATACTACTAATCCCACCTAGTAGTATATTTATGTTCGATACTTTTAAGTATATGTTGTTGATAATAATTCAGTGCTTTTTTAAGAAACATTCTGGATTTATGATTTCCACCTGTAATAGTGTTTTTAAAAGTATCTGATGTTACTTAAGGAAAGAATTGGAGTACTTCTTCCACCGATGAATATTATGTACAAAATCTCATTGGCTTTATTTTTCTATTTTCAAACATCTCATATCAATAACCCTGATCGACATGTCACTGTAAAGTAAACATTACCATGTGCTGTTCTTTGCAGTGGCTAAAGTTAAAGGCAAAGGGATGATTAAACCGGATCGGCAAGGTCCCGAGGTTTGTACAGACCCCGTCAGACTCACTACTCATGCAGTAGGGGCCAACATCTTCAAGCAAGGAGAAGACCCCCAGCTGAAACCTCATGACCAATATCCAGAGTGGTGAGGAGGACACACATTTATTTTATTTCTGACACTTCTATTGCTTTCTGTCCGCATCACTTACAGCTAACCTCCTCTCCTTCAGCATTTTGTCAAATTGATGATTTCTCTATTTTCCGAGATATCCAGCAACCTTTTTTTATCGTCCATTCTAACAGGAGATAAAACTATTTAGACCAGACTTAGAAAAAGCGTCACCTTTCCTTTTGTTCTTTCCATCAGGTTGTTCGAGTTGAACCTGGGAGCGCCCAAAAAGCTGAAAGAGATGGAGCCGGACACCTGGGAATACTGGAAGCGCTTGAGGAAGGAGAATATTTGGCGTAATAACAAACTGCAAAAAGGGAAGAAGTTTTAACTCGCACTGGACTGACAGATCACTTCTTCCTGTTCATTGGGTTGCTTCTCTCTGGACTGAATTAACCGACATAGTATACGTTCAGAGCCAGGGTTCCTGAATGCCACTTTAAGTGTGTTGATTCAAATCATGAAGAATCTTTAATGGCACTCTGGTGACAATACCTGAAAGCTATAAAGTACAAAAATACAGGAACTTTCTGAACCAAAGCTGAATAACACAAGAATGGTGACCTTGGAAATTTGAGTGGCTGACGAGGTCCATTTTGGAGTTGTTCTGGAGCATTTACATCTTCTTCAGCAGACACCATTTGTGCAGTTGTGATGACATTTTAATATTCAGTGAAGCTTGTGTTCAATTTCAAAAAGGTAGTTATACATTCTTTGCTTCCAGGATTATGCATTGCATTTAAATAAATTGTATGTATAAAACACATGTATGTTTTTTCAGTGGTTTTTTATTCAAACCTGAAGTGTAATGGCCTGCTCATATTTTGACAACTCATGTTGATAATGTTATTTCGTTTTTTTTGCAAAGCCATTATAAAAATAAAAAGGAAATATCCTGCACATTTTGCCTTTTTTATTCTTTCTTCAATCAACATAGAAAAGACATTTGACAAAACGTGTTTTATATACTTGTGTGTTCTATGCAAAAAAAAAATACTTATTTGTAAAGTAACTAGTAACTTACTGTCCTTATTATGCTTTTTGGGGTTTTCCCTTTCCTGTAGTGTTATCCCAAAGTTTCTCGGCACACTCCTCCCCCCCCCCCCCCCCCCCCCCCCTGCCTGAAATGCATCCATTGGATTCCTTTGTTTACTTCCGTAACATAGTGACATCACTATGTAACACTCACCGATCTATTGGCTTGTGCTCCAGCAAATTGTACGTGATCGGCTAAGGGGCGGGCCATCTCTAAGCGGTTGACCAATCACAACGGAGCCGGCCAGCTAATCAATCAGGGCAGACTCACTGGTCTCTGGTTTCAGACAGAGGGTGAAAAGAGGTGCTGCAGCACAGGCAGTATGAGATAAATAAAGAGCTTTTTGAACATTAAAGCATGGAGACATGTCACAGTAGAGACACAAAATACAAATATGAATTGGACCCCTTTAAATTGTTAATACAATTAACTCCCTTTGGATTGTTGCATTTAAAAGTACTCAAAAGTACACCTTAAATGTGCACTCGAGTATACTACTTGAATAAAGTAGGCCTACTTATGTATTATACTCCACCCAATCAAAGATATGTACTACTCCTCCTTCTTCGTCTTCTGTAGTTAGCTTCAATAATATGATGTTGCTATGACAACGCTATATGCAAATTACAGGGGATGTAAGAAATGAGGAACCGAAATCAGAGGAAGAAAGTCATCAGGGGAACAAAATCTGTCTGAACGAGGGCCATGCAGCAGAAAGGTCTATTTTAATGTAAGGGCGGTCGTTCCTGCTTAACTGGACTTGTTCATCTTTGTCTACTTTCTGGAAAGTCGGTAAGTTTTCTTCACAACTTTGATAAATGATAATAGCGGAAGAAGCTGCACAGTGGCAGTTATTAATCGACGTCACGATGTTTAGTTTGGTGTAAATACACTAAGTAGTATCCTTTTTTTTTTCTTTACTTTTACGTGATTAGTTGTTTTTTTAAGTAGGATTACCATCTCCTTTCGTGGTTTTACAATTATAGGTATTTGTTATTATAACATGAACTTCGATACTTTCACAACCTACAGTTTTCTGGCGTAACCTATGGGTGTAACGTGTACTCGAACGCGACTTAACTATCAAAGCACTGGTTGTTTGACTTGTTTAACCGGTGTGTTAGTGGTGTTTAACGAAGATGGAAGAGGGAAAAAGCATCGGTTCCTTGACTGAACAAGTGCTGAACAGGCTGTCAAAGATGTTGGACAACTCCACCTGCGGATGGAGGCAGCTGGCAAACGCTGTGTCCGAGCAGCCGAAATTCCGCTGCAGGTGAGAGACATTGAAGGCACCACGCAACTTTTCTCTTGACATTACAACTGACGTTTACACTTCATCCTGCTGTGCAGGGAATCTTTTATACAGTTTTTCCTTTTATTTGAGTTTATGGAAGTAATACTCAGTTGTTTTACTTAAGTAAAATAAGTTATAACCTACTATACAATTTACAGTTACAAGTACAAATGCTGCATTCAAACTTTAAATATTATTTTTAGTACTGTATTCATTATGCAGAATGCCTCAGCTCACAATAATATATATAATATTTCTGGTTTATAAACTATTGATCTGTTAATGTGTTTGTGTGCATATACTGCTGGGTTCAGTAAAGTTAACCTAATGATGTATACGCTGATTATATATTGTATGAATAATTTAAATCTGGAAATGAACTAGTAACTAAAGATTTCAAAAATAAATGTAGTGTAAAAAGTGCCATATTATCGTACAATAAGCGTTGTTGCAGGGTGTCTGAGGGGGAGGTTTTCCTTGACTGCTTCTCTGTAACCAAACTTGAACTTGATACTCTTGAAACTCGTTGTGCACATTCCTGCGAGTTTGTTAATTCCTCCCCTGCATTTGGCCCATGAACTGTCCAGACTAACACTGCCCCTTGTACCCCCTGCAGTGAGAGCGAGCTGACCTGCTGCTCCCTCCAGGTGCTGAGCGCTGCAGGCAGCCCGGGACGCACCCTCCTCGCTCGGCTAGCCGATCGCTCCTGCTCCCTGGACTTCCTGCTGCACTGCCTGAGGAAGATAGACCACCAGGAAGCTGTGCACTACCTCACCTACACAGGTAAAGAAGAAGTGACTGGGTGTGCAATACATGTACAATTACATATATTACAATTTTAGGAAATACCTCTTACTATAACATCCTGTGTGCGCATTTTGGTTTATAGCAGTGAAATAACTGGTGCAATAAATAACATTACCTGAGCAAGTTAGATGCTGCGTATCACAGTGCACTGAGATTTTTGACAAATTGTAAAGCACTTACGCATCACTGTACCCTGTATACCAAAGCGATTTTGCCATCACTTACTGTACGGAGGCTCAGTCACTGGTACTTTTTCATTTACAAAGCCATGTTGGATAAACTACCATCTTATATCTGCTCCCTGATCTCTCGGCGAATTGAAAGTACTTATTGCCTGAGATCGCATGCTGTGGTTTTATTAAATGTGCCAAGTGCTAGGACTGTCTTAGGGAAGAAAGCTTTTAGATGTGCAGCTCCACTAACATGGAACAGTCTGCAAAAAGAATGGAAAATTACCAAGCTAGTACCACTACATGTTTTTAAAGCTCGGTTGGATGCTACAAAATCAGATGCTGTTGGTACCTGTACATGTGGTTAGATATGTAAATTGTAATCCCTGTACATGTTGCTGTATGATGTCCTTTTGTTATTCTGTTGTTTATGTTTTTATGTCTTCTTGTGGAACCTACTGCTGCAGGTCTCCCTTGAAAAAGAGATCATTGATCTCAATGGGATTTTACCTGGATAAATAAAGGTTTTGAATTGAATTGAATTAGTGACAGCTTAGGCAAGGCAAGGCAAGTTTATTTATATAGCACTTTTCAACACAAGGCAATTCAAAGTGCTTTACAAAAATGAAAGACATTAAGAGCATAAAACACAATAGAAACATTAAAAAGCAAAGATAATAAAACATGAATAATACAGGTACATGAATAAAAGTTACAGTGCAGTATAAGATGTGAATAGTTCAATTAAAAGTAGCGGCAAAAAGAAAAGTCTTCAGCCTGGATTTAAAAGCAGTAAAAGTTGCAGCGGACCTGCAGGTTTCTGGTAGTTTGTTCCAGATATTTGACAATATCCCTAACCAAATTCTCACATTCCTCTACCCCTAGTCTTCCCGTGAAATTATAGTTCATTTGACACTTTTCTAACCTTTTATATTCCTTTCATCCTTCTCTTGCAATCATTTTGCATCCCCAGACAACAAGTTTTCCCCTGTTTTACTGTTAATAGTGTTTTGGTAACACGGGGTGTTCAGGTAACACTTAAAGACTTTGTTATGGAACGCAAAGCAGAGTAGGGGGCTAGTACACCCTCCTGAGGGTCCGATTGTGGATGTCATGCGAGCATAACATGGTGAAAACAATCAGTCTAAATTAACAATCGGGACGGAAATGTTCGGATTTCCAAAGGGAGGTTCTGTGAATAAATTAAAAATCAAGAACCGAAAGAATTGAACTATTCATATCTTAGACTGCACTGTAACTTTGATCTTTTAATGTTTATTTCATTAGCTTTTCTTTTTAATGACTGCCATTTTCATTTTTCATTTTTCTTTTAATGTTTCTTTTATTATCTCTTAATGTTTTTAAATGCCTTTGTCTGAATGTCTTTCATTTTTGCAAAGCACCTTGAATTGCCTGGGGCTGAAAGGTGCTATATAAATAAACTTAACTTAACTTGCCTTGCCTTGCCTTGCCTTGCCTTGCCTTGCCTTGCCCGAACCCATCTTTGACCTTTAAACCACTTTTATTTTCAATTCCCAGAATTAGGATATTTAAACCTTATCTTGATAAATATACCCCAGACAGCAAGTCATAACATATTTCAATACCTGTCCTCTGTTTCTACTTGTCTCTGTGTGTTTGTGTGAAAATACATGTCGTTTAGCATGTCGAAAAAATGCCAAAAAAACATGATATTTTATGTCGAAATAAGGCACGGTATGGTGTCTAGAAACCAGGCGTGGCATAGTCTGTCGTTAAAAATGACAGCCATAATATAGCATGTCGAAAAAATGCAATGTTTGTCATAACATATTTCGATACCTGTTCTCTGTTTCTCTGTTTCTCTGTGTGTGTGTGTGTGTGTGTGTGTGTGTGTGTGTGTGTGTGGTAGAGGTAGAGCTGATCCAGATCACAGTGCAGCCACAGACCCAGCAGGCCACAGTGGGGGGGCGGGTGGTGTTGACCTGCAGAGCCAGCGGCCCCCCGGGACTCAGCTACCAGTGGTTCAGAGGCAAAGAGGAGGTCAGTTAAACCTTGTGTGATTATTTCATAATTAAGGATACACAATCCTTCTTGTTAATGTAAACAAAATCTGAAATGATTGGTAATCTTATTGCTATCAGCCATGGTAAACATGACATCGATATATCCTGCATCCTTAGTGATTATAAAAAGTAATGATAGAGAGATTTCATATCAAAACCTGAGTCATGTGTTGTCATTGTTTGGCTAAATGTTTAAAAGGTCTCCTATCATGCAAAATGCACTTTTTAATGTCCTTTATAAATAAATATGTGTCACCGGTGTGTCAGAAAATAAAACCCTCTCTCTTTTCCTCCGTACCCAAATCTCTAAAAACGGGGGAACAACGGAGCTGGTCCAGATTTGCATCCGATATGACGTAATATCTGAAATGTGGACCCACGGCCCTATCAGAAACGTCGCTATCAGAAACAATGTGCGACGTGTTTTGGACGTAATATGGTCTTTGTTTACATTAGCAAACATGTTTTAATATATTTTTATATATCTGAGACCCATAATATATGCCTAAAAATAGCATGATAGGAGATCTTTAAATTATCTTATATAGAT